TCTTGAGTTTTAACTCAAATGCAAGGCTTGTTCACCAAAATGAGATAATTTGCAAGCTCTTGCATATAAGAAGAAATTGAAGATAGATCTCAACAGATTTGTACTCTAGACGTAAGCCTCAAATATTAATAACTTCTATAATGGAAGTTGTCCAAAGATAACAGTAGGACAAAACTTTCAACCGTATTCTTTATTTATTACAGTATAATATTAATATAAATACTAAATTACGAGCTTTATTGTGCCTACTATCTACTAACTAATCCTTGTCTTCTTTTATCATAAAAGAATTAAATGAATTGTTTTTACCCATAATGCCACTACCTAATCCTCGTTTTTATTCTACTAATTATGTGGTTTATGTTTTCACTTTTATTACAAAATTTTACTTTATTTAACAACTTTTGTCTTATTGAGAAAGGATGAACTGTCTTTACTTCCAATGCCACTAACAAATTTTGTTTTTATTCTATTAATATGTTTTTTATGATTTCAATTTTATTAATTACTTTTATATGATTGAGAAAGATGAGTGAACCTATCTCTTTCTCTCTTCTTGCCCAATGAACCTGAATATAATTTTCCCTTATTGTTTTTTTAATTCTTAATTATAATTTTAGGTGATGAGGGATTTGAAATATTCTTTTACCCTTTTTATGCACACTACTAACTCTTATTTTCTCTTATAGTATAAAAATGAGATGAATTATATTGTCTCATTATGGCACTAATTAATCCTTATCTTTTTTAACCATAGTTCTATATAAATAAAACATAACATAACCTTTAGTTAGACCTTAATCAATTGTCTAGTTGCTAACACTTATTTCCCAAGAAGTAAGACTAAAACTTGTTATATCAACCAAAATAATCACTCCCTTAAAAATTAAATTATATAATTTATTAAGTTTACAAAAGACAAGGGACATGAATTTTTTTACGTGCGAATACTAAGCTAGTGCCAGTGCAGATTTGATAACTTAAGAATAATGCACATAAATTTATAAAAAAAAAAAAAAAGGAAAATTCGTCATACTCAGTAGTTGTCAGCAATGATGGATGCATTTTGAAGAAAGATTAGGTGTAGATTTTATCTTATTTTTAAACAACTTTTATAATTTTAAAATTTTTTTATGTAAAGTCTTACTTACTGAAAAAAATATATTATACAAAAAATTAATAGGCCATACACCAATAATACAACCTGATCCTGCCCCCGGTTGTTAGCTAGGCCTCAACATCTGCATCTTTAGTGAAGGCCTCATAGGCAACAAAGGAGATGAATTGAAATACGGAAGAAAAACAATTTTATAAAAAGAAGTGCAGCCCCTTGGGACGTGTTGAATCAAGATGAGAAAACAAGACAAAATGATAAGACAATTGTTTTTACCACCATATAATTTGGTCGAGGTGGTCCTATTGTGGTTCTCATAGAAAGACTAAAAGTGGTCAAAGTTGTTACTTGTAATAAAAATTAAGCCATTATTATGTGCTTCTTTATATAATTACAGAGTATGAAACCTACTAATCCAAGGATTTGATGATAGATTTACAAATTACCTCAAGTTTAAAGAATAAGATAAATTTGTTGCACTTAAAAATTTTTAAGAACTTAGAAATCAAAACTTTAAACCAAATAAACGTTTCTTGTCAAAAACTAGCTGAGCAAAGCTCATAAGCAATCAGACTTAAGCATGATTTGTTCAAGAATTTTGTCAAGCTATACTTTTCAAGCTCAAATTAGACTCATCTAGAAAATAGTAGAATTTTTACTTGACTTGAGCTCAACTCATCAAACAAAACATTCAAATTCATCCTTGAGTTCAAATTCTATTAATTTGAATATTGAGTTTTATAGTATAATAAAAAGGTTAATATAGATGATTTGTTTTTTGATGCTATCTTGAGCTTTAACTCAAGTGTAAGGCTTGTTCACCAAAATGAGACAATTTGCAAGATCTTGAATATAAGAAGAAATTAAAAATAGATCTCAATAAATCTGTATTCTTGATGTAAGCCTCACATATTAATAACTTCTATAATGGAAGTTGTCCAAAGATAACAGCAGGACAAAAATTCCAACTGTATCCTTTATTTATTACAATATAGTATTAATATAACTACCAAATTATGAGCTTTATTGTGCCCACTATCTACTAACTAATCTTTGTCTTCCTTTACCATAAAAGAATTAAATGAACTGTTTTTGCCCATAATGCCACTAACTAATCCTTGTTTTTATTCTACTAATTATGTGGTTTATGTTCTTACTTTTAATTATTACAAAATTTTACCTTATTTAACAACTTTTGTCTTATTGAGAAAGGAGAAGAGATCCTATCTCTTTCTCTCTTTCCTTTTGACAAAATATAACCCTGAGTATAATTTTTTTTTTTCATTGTTTTTTAATTCTTGATTATAATGTTAGGTAAAGGGGGATTTGAAATTTGCTTTTATCCTTATTGTGCCACTACTAATTCTTATCTTCTCCAACTAGAGAAAATTGGGATGAATTATTATGTCATTATGGCACTAAGTAATTGTTATCCTCTCTAACCATGGATTTATATAAACAAAATATAACATAACCTTTAGTTAAATCTCAATTAATTAATTGTTTAGTTGTATTTACCAAAAATATAAAAAGTAATTCTTTACTTACAGAAAATCATGCCGAAAAAAAATCATGTGCCTCTTAAAGCTATGTCAAATATGGTATGACAAAAATTCTCACATAACAAAAAAAAAAAAAGAAAAAAAAGAAAAAGAAATCACTTTCTTATAAATTAGACTCTGTAATTATAGAAAGTTAAAAAAAAAAGGGTATGAAAATTTTTTTTAGAATATAAAGACAAACTCGGTAGACTTAAACAACACAATACATGTCAATTAAGAAAAAACTAGAAGAAAGTTGGTCTGCAAGCAACGTGATCATTTTCTTCGAAAAGAGGAGGAGCAAGTTAAGCTCTTGGAACTAGTTTATGAGATGTTGACACACAAAACGAAAAAATTACTAATCAATACAATGTCGTTTAACGTGGTGCTGACTAGTCAACAAACAAGTAACAAATTGTCAGAAATCACACCTAACCTCAAAAAAGAGTGTTTCAATTATAAAGGCTGTTTTTTTTAATAATATAAGGCAATTTATACAAATATTTTCATATATTATGAAAAATTTAAAAAAAAAGAAATTTTTAAAAAATCAAACATCAAATTAAAATAATATTTCACTAAAGAAAACATAACTTATCACTTTACCCGCGTGCGGAACATTAAAAGGAAAGTAACGAGCCGCTTTACCCGCATGCGGAACATAAAGGTTGAATTTTTAAGTGGTTGCTTGGTGGCAGAAAATATTAAAAAATGTAAACATGTCAGATACCCCACCTAAAGTTCTCAACAATCTGTATTACATAATGAGTTGGGCGAAATAGGGTTTGCATCAGTCGTATGAATTGAAGAAATTTGGAATTTGATTTTGATTCC